ATACATACATACAGACATATATGCATATGCATATACCAATATGTTAAATGTTAACTTCATTCACTATCTGTACGACATCTACAGAAATATTATTGCATTGAATATATATATATATATATATGCCGACATATAGAAGGAAATGTAGATAAGCCGAACAAGCAGACACCTAGTTTCGATTTAGGGTTCAGGATTTCGGCGCTGACACTCGGACAAATCCAGGCGAGGCATGGTCTTGATGGGACAAGGGTCTAAGGCTTTAGGTCTGAGGGTCTAGAATTTTGGGGTTTGGGGTTTAGGCCAGGTTTACCCCCCAACTCCCCAACGCCCACCCCATCCAACCTGCCTGCAGCTTTGCTCGGAAGTCTGCAGCCTTCTTCTCCCGCGCAGAGCTCGCCGCGGTCGTGGCTGCCTGCGGATTCGGGCCTCAACCCTCAACCCTAAAACCCTAGGCCCTAAACCCTTTCAAAATTAGATAACTCTGGCGACTCGCACGTCGCACACTCCAGGCGACGCAACTGAGGCAAATGGTTCTCTTCAACCTCACAAGAGCTTCTCAAACAGCAGCATAAGCAGCACGATTGCATATGGTTGCTCCTGAACATCCCGGAGAGCTACCCACAGCCCTATGAGAATCCACTTGAGTGAAGCTCTTTTTCCTTGCCGCAGATGCAACTGCCCGGCATTACAAGCGTAGATGTCCCAGCCTCTGTTGCATAGAGATGTCTTGGACGCTTCTGGCGTTACGACGCGGCCCCCCGAAATCACGCAGGGCACTTCGGACAAGACGAGGCCATCTGCACCCGTTGAGGCTCGCTGTCGACCTTTACTTCACGGAAGGGAGCCGAAGCAGAGGAGCCGAGAACCCTGGAAAGCCAGGGGACCTAAAAAGAGCTCCAAGGCTCGCAGTATTTCGCAGGGGGGCATCTGAAAGAATCAACTCTGCCTCAACTGCCTTCGCACGCGGCTGCTCCCAGAAGCAGTTTGAAGCATGACTGCCTCGCATGGCGATGAGGTCTTTGCATGCACAGCAAAGAGTGTTGTCAGCCGGCGCTGTTCATGGCGGGGCCCGGGAGGGGTGACAGCGCAGAGCAGACCCACGCGGCTTTGTGGGTTGCCGAGGGCGACCTGGCTGATCTTGACCGTCTTCTGGGAGCTGAAATTAGGCAGCACGCCAGCTTTGCACTGATCGTCTCTTACAGAGAGAGTCAAGCCAAAACAAGTTCCAGGTCCAAGAGCGGCACAACTTCTTGCAACTGGCTAGATCGGGTAGGCATTCTGCGAAGAGAATATCCTTCACCGTATGCTTCTTCAGACCTGTAAACTCCTCTTTCGAGTTCAGAGCCATAAACGCCACAGCCCAGGGGCGAGATGACAGGCGGCATGCATCCTACAGGGTTGCGTCTGGCCGTCGCAGCATCGGCTGCTAGGCGGGAGCTCGGGAAAATGGAGAACAGCCCAGAGCTACGGCAAGAGAACGAGGCTCTTAACTAAAGAAACCTCGCTGCAGCTTATGCCCGGACACCCGCCGAGAAACCCGGCTGCTGGACTGCCGGAAGGCATCCCGGCCCCAGCCCACGTTCTACATTTGCGCCTGGAAAGGAACCCTAAGTGCATAGCAGACCCTTGTGAAACTCACACTGTGCTCACTTAATGTATCACGAGAGCAAAGACCACGCACTTCTAGGACGACAAGGTTGCACATTCACAGCACTTCAGAAACTGCGGGGGCAACGGCGGCACGGGCCGTGAGGTCAGCTCAGGTCGCCGTCGGTGGCCCTCAAGAAGAGAGCCAAAAAGCTCTGGAAAGATCTACTCAATTCACCTTGGTTGCTTTGGCTTGGGCACGGCCTCGAACGGCCTCCTTCCTAACCGCTACGAAATCGCCCTGAACTTCAAGTGATTTGGGTTTTGAAGCTGCGATGCATTCTCCCCGGCTCTACGGGGATCTTAACACCAGTGCTGTGTCAGTTACGTCAACATCAACGTAATCGGCAAACAAAATGTGCGAGGCTGAAGGCTCAGGCTTCAGAAACCGCCTTCCGACACATCAGTGAAAGACTCAGGCGCTTGGACTTCAGCTCAGGCTCAGGGGCGAAGCGCTGGATCGCACATTTAGGCCCACATCGCACCGCAACGCCGTGGGCGGCAAGACCCACAACGCACAGTTAAACTGCACCCGACACAGAGACCGATGCAAGTGTAGTGGCTCTGATGCGCAGCCCTTCATTACGACAAATCCTGGGGGAGATGCTCGCAGGGAGGCTCGAGCCTCGGATTGCGACACGGCCTGGCTCCACGATGTGATCCGTTAACGGCGGCCATGCTCACACCTCAACCCGAAACGCCCTAAATTCTTGGCTGGATGCTTGGGGGGGCTTGCTTGTTGCCTAACCTTAGTCTGAATCATTCCTTCTGGAACTGAAAATGAAAAACAAGAAATCCCTGCACATTGCCTGCATTTCGGGTGTATAATGTAGGGTTTAAAGCGTTGGTTGTGGGGTTTTTCAGGCTCATAACACATTTGATATAGCTGGTTGGCACGGAAAGCATCGGGCTCAAAGCCCGCGACACTGACAGCAGAGCCGGCCGACATTGGAATGCTTGGCGGTGTGTTTATCTATAATGCTCACACGGGTTTTGGAACCATGAGGCAACTCTCGGGAAATGTCAGAACAGGCTGCGGAACCACTTTCACAGCAAGCTTCAAACCGTCCGGAACCGTTCCGAACCGTTGGACCTGTTTTAAACCACTCTTGCCACGTGTCCAAAGCTTACAACGTGTCCAAAGCTTGCAGGACCAGATGGGTCTTGAGACTAGTGTGATGGTTCGTGAGACCAGTGCGGCGAGAACAGAGACACTAAGCCGACCAAGCCACTGCCCACTTTAAAACCGACGTTACAAATGCCTGCTTTCGAGGAGAAGAGCTACACAGACTCTTCACCGTCTTAACCTTAGGCAGTTGAAAGGCAGACTCCCTGAGGGGCTGCCTGATAGAGGTTGTCTGGCTAGGAGTACCTGTTTATGGGACCCATGATGGAGTACGCAAGTTTTGGAAGCTACTCGTAAAGGGTTCAAGGAGAACTAGATTCTCAAAGCA